AAACCCCTGATCATTTTAGTTGCCCTCTTCTGAACCCTTTCCAAGGCCAAAACATCTTTTTTGAGATGAGGAGACCACATCTGTACACAGTACTGAAGATATGGCGTACCATAGTTTTATACTTCCCCTCCTCCTTCTTCCCCTGGTTTACCCCTTCCAGCTCCCTCCTCCCAGGTTTCCCCCTCCCCTCTCCCACCCTCTCTCTTCTCCTCTCCCACCTCCTTTCCCCAGTCTCCCCAGAGATTAATCCCTCCCCCCAGTTTTGTTCAATAAAGAGAGTTTCTATTTTTGAACACACGTGTCCTTTATTTTTTACATCAGGAAGGGGGGCTAGGGAGGGGTAAGTGGAAGGAAGTGAGGGAGGAATGGGGCACGAGCCCCCGATGGGGAGGACTGGGGTGGCTCTGCGGGCTGCTCGGGGTGAAAGCTCTCCTGCAGGGCCTCCTGGATCCTGACAGCCCCCCGATTGACCCCTCCGGATGGCAGCCTGTGGCAAGTGCAGCCAGGCTGATGGCTGAGTGCTGTGATATGCCGAATGAGGGCACTAAGGGCACTTCAAGACAGGACTGCTTTGCTGTCCCTCCTCGAGGTAGACAAGCAATCGGGCAACTCTGAGAACTGTCTGTCTGGGGTGGGGGTTTGGGTAGGAGTTGGGTTCCCTTTAAGCACAGCCCTCGGCTAGTCTGAGGCAGCAGCTCCTCACTCTAAATCCTAACCTGATGCCCTGCCGGCACTGGTTCTGGCCAGCCTTAACTTCGGTTCAGGGTCCACTCAATGTGGACATGCTAGTTCAAATTAGCAAAACGCTAATTGGAATTAGTTTTTAGGTCTACATGCACTAGTTCGAATTAGCTTAGTTCGAATTAAGTTAGTTTGAATTAGTGCTGTAGTGTCAACATACCCTTATTTTGGAAATAGGTGCATCTACGCAGTGCCAAATTTTGAATGAACATGCTATTTCAAGACATCCCTTAACCCTTGTGGTATAATGGTTACCGGAATGCTGAAATAGCGCACCTGTCATTTCAAAATGGCTTGTGTAGACTTATCCCGAAATAGCCGTGCAGTGTAGTTAACTTGCCTATTTTCTGCTGCGGTTTCCATACAGCAGGACCAAGCCATGGCCTTTCAGTAGAAATGACTTCCATTTCTGATTAAGAAACACTACAAAGGAAGGGCAAATGTAAGCCCACATAAAAAATTACAAAGGGACTGTGTGCAGTATTGAACTGTCACTTTCATAGACACCTCAGATTGACTTCATGGACTGCTCTCTAAGGGTATGTCTAGGCTTCATCCCTCTGTCCACAGAAGGATGCAGGTTAGGCAGGTCGACATTGCAAATGAGGCAGGGATTTAAATATCCCATGCCTAATTTGCATAAAAATGGCCACCGCGTTTTGCCGACTCAGCACTTTGTCTACAAAAAGTGACAGTCTAGAGGGGGATCTGTCAAGAAAGAAAGCTTTTTTCGACAGATCCTGTAAACCTCCTTGCAAGGAGGCATAAGGGATCTGTTGAAAAAGGCTTTCTTTCTCAATGGATCCCCCTATAGACTGCTGCTTTTTGCCAACAAACTGCTGAGTTGGCAAAACGCAGCAGCCATTTTTATGCAAATTAGGGACGGGATATTTAAATCCCTGCTTCATTTGCAATGTCGACCTGCCTAATCTGCATCCCTCTGCCGACAGAGGGATGCAATCTAGCTAACAGACAAAAAGGAAGACTGCATTTAAAGGTAGGGGGCATAGAAAACAGTGTCAGAATATCTCCTCTGGATTTATAGAGTCACACACAGCCCAATGTCACCAGTCCATTTTCAAGTCCTGAAATCAAAACACCCCTGGCTGTGTATGGAATTCCCTGGCATGGAATCCTGGATCTAACTAATCTCTTTCTTTCCCGTTACTCATGGGACCTAATGCAATGGCAAAACATTCAGTGTCTTCATTAGGAGCAGGAACTGAGCCTCAGATGGTAAGCTAATAAGCAATCAGTTCAAAAGGTCAGTGTATCAGCTTGGTACAAGCATGTAAATATGAATGGAGAACATTGGCGTATTAGGACCGTTACATTCTGTCCTCTGAATGACCTGAAAGCAAGAGATTTATTTCCCAAACTTGCTGAATATTTATCCTTCCAGAGTGAATATGAGCTGAGTCGAATTTAGTCAGCCACCTGTTCAGTTAGTAGATTTCATCTTCTTTTGATTGGTTTTTGTTTTTTTTTAAAGAATGCATGGATAGGTAACAGTTCTGCTCTGACTAAAAAGCATGGGTGGAGGCTGGGTGGAACACAGAGGGCCATATGTTGATATATGAGAATTCTGGATGATGCAGAGAAAAATGGTGCCAGGAGATCAAGGTATATGACATTGTCCCCTTCAGGGGGCAGGAGCGCTTGCAGCACACAGTAGAGCTGGGTGGGAAATGGTTTGCCCTTCCTGTGAAAGAAACGGAGATTTCAAAATAGTTTTCCTTTTGCAGTGGGATAAAACTGAGATCTTTTGACTTATTTGGGGAGAAAAAACAGAGAGGGAGAAAAAACAGAGAGGGAGAATAGTTCCAATAGCCCAGTAGTTAGGACACTTGCCAGGGATATAAGAAGTAGCTTCAAGTCCCTGCTCTATTTTATTTGGACTTCAATCTGTGTCATCCATATCCAAGGTCAGTGGCATAGCCATCAGGCTAATGAGTACTCTCCAGCAGGGCTCCCTGTGACTACAAATTTTATCCAGGACACCATAAACCTCGCCTGGTCAAACACAGTTGAAACTGACCCTTTCCTACCAAAAGTTTTGGTTTTGACAAATTGGCATTTTTCTCTCCCACCGAAAATAAAGACATGAAATTGTCAAATAGTCTCACTGGCACAATGTACTTGCCACCTGATTGGGTGCCATGGAAAATCCAGTAGATTATGCCTATTTGTGGCCTTGGCATTCTTGTCCTACTTGACTCTTTGCAGGTCTGGGTTGGAATCCGGCTTTGCTGTAGCATGGGGAAGAGAGATCTTTGGTTAAAATCCTCTATGCACATCTCTCCCGCTATACCACAGCACACCAGGAGTGAAGGATAGGACTTGTCCATCGGAAGATGTGGTTGTGAGAGCCTCCAAGCACAGAGGATTATGTCCTGCCCATAACATCATTTGTGTGGGAGAAAGGCAAAGGGCATGAGACGACAACAGAGCCATTCCCTTAGAAGTCAGTTTCCGGAGATGCTTGTTAGGGTGTGTGTAGACTAAAGGATTTTGTCGACAAAAGTGGACTTTTGTCAACAAAACTATACCTGCGTCTACACTACCACTGAGTTCTGTCAACATAATGTCGACAGAACTCAACAGTTTTGTTGACGGCGGTAAATCTCATTCTATGAGGAATAATGCCTTTTGTCAACAGAGTTCTGTCAACGGAAGGCATTTATTGCATCTACACTATCTTTTGCATCTACACTCTCATGTTGACAAAGCAGCTTGCTTTGTCGACAGAACTGGCTGTAGTCTAGACGCTTTTTGTCGACAGGTGCTTTATCGACAGTATCTGTCGACAAAGCCTCTGTCGACAAAAGCCTGTAGTCTAGACGTACCCTTAGACACCAATCTCGCAGAGGGCAAAACTTATGGCTGATGCTTCAGCAATGAACAGCCTTCCAAGTCAATGTTTAGCTGGGGACAGAATGTCAGCTATGAAGTTCATGGGGCTATACCAGCTGAGCCTTTGGTCCTTGGTATAAATCAGCAATAGTGACACTGGCTTCAACAGAAGTCTGCTCATTTACACCAGCTGAGGAGCTGGCCCTATTGAGCTGGAGCTAAATAGCAGAATGGTGCTGTCCATGGGGCAAACTCATCGACATTTTTATTCCTAAGCCCCAAGTCAGGGCTAAGCACTCTCATGGGACGTGTCTCGTTGTAGGTGGTTGGGCAAACCCATCCAGAATGTGATTTTGTAGCTGAGCTGAAGAAAGATG